CAGGGAAAGGGCAATAACAAACGGGTGCAGGTTTGGTCGGTATGGGTCTGATTTCCAAAGGGATCTCAACTAATCCAGGTACTTCAGTACCTGCTTCAGCACCAGAGAGCAGTCAGGGACAAGTGTGCGTGTGCTCGGCAGAGACCACCTTGGGAGTGTCACATCTTTGATGGCTGATCAGCTTCTAACAGGAGCACTGGAAAATTGCCCACCGTGCTTACGTAGCTCTGTCCGAGCCCTTCGACATTAGGGGCGGCGAGGTTGCCTGGGCAGTGCCTTGCGAGGTGTCCACTCTTCCATCCAACCCAGTGATCCCAGGCAACTACAGACTCCCTAATAGATTTCCTTGTGCTGCAGCCAAAGGAGCTGCATCCCCAATTCCTCCTCTCCTTCCTGGTGACTAAGCAGAGCCAAAACAAGCTTCTCTGAAGCTCCGCTTTCATCTTCCATTAGGATATGAGGGGTTGTTTGTGAAAGAAGAGCAGCTGTTACGCCAGAAAAATGCATAAAGGAGCGAGATGCCAACAGGGCGGGAGAAAAGTTTGGGATGTGCAGCTGCATAACTTGTGGGAGTTTGGGACAAAATTGATCTCTTGTCTCAGTGGACTTTGAAAGGCAAATTTTGGCCAAAGGTTTCCTTTATGAGAGGGCATCTCTATCTCTCCGGTGTACTCAGTAAGGCCTGTCTGGATTGAGATGGCCAGGAAGGTTCCCAGTGAGTACTGACTGAGGATAGATGGCTTATAGGGAAGGTACTGGCTCGAACTGCTGGCTTCAAATGCCAGTTTTGCTACCAACTCTCTGCTTGGCATTTAGGACCTTCAGGGCCTTGAAAGCAGAAGTTTCACTATCAGAATCCAAGTCTCACTTAAAGCGTAAAAAGCCTGAGTCTCCCTTAGAGCCAGAAGGCTTGAAAACTATACCCTTTGTCTCTTAAGGCCTCGGTTTTCCCCTTTGTAAACCAGACAACACACACCTTCCTTTCTCATCCTTTGCCTTCCTCATCTATCTAACCCCATGCTCTTCAGGCTGGGATTGCCTCTGCCTACGTGTTTGCACAGCCCTGAGTGCAACCTGGCCTTGAGCTTTGCTGGGATGGATAGACAAGCTATTCTAATACAACTAAGGTCTGGTTTTTGGGAGTGAGGGGCACCCAAAATGGAGCGGGAGTCATGGCAGCTGTGGATACTTTGGCCAACAACAACTGGTGGTTAGGGTAAATCTGCCTTCATGGTCTACTTGAGCTCTGGCTTCGTCACTAAGGAAGCCAGGGAGGTTTCCCCTCTTCACTCTCCTTGCAGACCAGGAGCCCAGCTAACAGTAACCGCTCAAAGGGTCACCATCCTTTGCCAGTGGGCTCCCAGCTCCAACGGACTTACTGGGCTGCCATCAGTGGGATGGGTGCTTTCTTCCCAGGCTCTGGGCAGATCCTCATAAGTGATCCCAGCTGCACGCCTGTATTTTCCCATGTCTCTGGCACTCTGGTCATTTTTAAATAGTTCTGTAGTTGCACCGAGGTGCGCGCGGCTTCCTGGGAGAGCTCTCGGCCTCGCTGACCTCTTCGCTCAGGCTCCAGATCTAAACAGGAAATGCATGCTTTCCTCTATCTTAAAGGGTTTTGGGCAGCAGCAGGTCAGTGGGTAGCCAGGGACGGTGCTTGCTTGTTTTCTTGTGTCGACAGAGAGAAAATGTTCTGCTCCGATGCACTGGCTGCGATGGGTCCTCTCCTGGTCTCAAAATGACAAGCGTGTGCATGTGCATGTGTGCACATGTGTTTCCATCCAGTTTCCTTGGAGCAAGGCCGTGTAGTTGCTGGAGGGGGGATCCCGGCACGAGAAGCCTGGGCGTTGCTGTTGTCAGGGTGGGCTGCGGGGGGCAGAGGGGCTGAAGGGAGTCTCTAGAGGTGGGCGCTGAACCCTGTTTGAACTTGCTTTGGAGGCTGCCTGGTGAACCCATTTCCAGCTGGGTTGGCCTGATCTGTTGGCGGTCGGAGATGGCTGGATGCGATGCTGCCCCACGTGCCTTTGGCTAGGGAAGCCTGTGTGCCTTAACCACGCGAGTCCAACAGGCTCGAGGGGTCCCACCTCATTCCTGACTCCACATTGATGCTGGGCCTTCATTCATCCTTCTGACCTCAGTGTTTCCCTCTGCGAAATGGGGATAGTGATAACAACACCGCTTTGTTGGGTGGCCGAAAGGCCCCTAGTCCACAGTTTATATATGCAAAGTCTACTGCATGCTGGGTAGGTTCTTGCACCGTTCTCCAGGCTGTGCTCTAGCCCAAGCGGCGCACAAAACAGCATGGTTAAGAGCTCTTCCACGTCGTGTGTTGTGCATCCTCTCCCCTCCTGTCATGGGGTTTCTTTTATTGCTGTAGAGGGCATTTAAATTATTTCCAGTGGTCTTATCAGTGTCCTTTGGCCCCCAAAACCAACCAACCGACTCGGAAGGACTCAGCCAGGGCTGCCACAGATGCCAAGCTGGGGAGGTACTCTGTGGGATTTTGGGAAGCACCTGGAGGGCAAAGGATCATGGGAATTCAATGTGCGTCAAAGGAAAATGCCCATGTTACAGCATTGCTAAGGCAGCCTGGTTTAAACGGCAATATGCTAGGAAAAGCTGGTTAGACCCAGACCTTGCAACATCCTGTGGAAATAGTCCTATCTTTTAGCTAGACGTAAGCAGAGAAGTGGGACCAACACACAGGACTAATGGGAATCAGGGCTAGCAGGCGCTCCAGGGCAGTCAGGTGAAGGTGTTGCCCATACTGCGCTTTGCTAATCCCCCTGCTCTGACGGCCTTTGCTGGACAGAACTGCATTTGTGTCCTCCTCTTGCCGTGCGCGCTCTCTGAGCCGTCCCTGCTCTTCACGCAGCGCCAGGAGAGCGGCGGGGGCTGCTTCTCCCAGCCCGGTCCGCTTCACATGGCCTGTGTGGAAAGAGCACAAGCTGCTCATCGTTATGCAAAGGGATTAAGGAGGGAAGAGAATCCAGCTCTTCAGGCAGAAGGAAAAATCGAGTGCGCTAGCGCTCTTCCTCTGCAGTGGGCGTCCTCGGTGTTTGCACGGGAGCTGCAGGCTGCCAGAGGCAATAAGTATTTCTCGTGGCTCCTTGCTAGCAACTGGTGTAGGCCAGGTCATTCCCTGCGTCCAGCAGCCGCTGCACGTGTGGCTCTCTTCCCATTTGCTGTGTGAGGGCTGAGGGTTGTGCCTGCTGGAGCAGCTTCCCCAAACCGTTTGCGTCTCTGCAGACGGGGCTCCAGGCACTGCTGGCTGTTTAACCCCCAAGATATTTGCCCCTGCTCAGGGCAGGCTGATGTGAGACGATGATTCAAATACCTGGATGTCTGGTGCCTTCCCTGCTCTCAGCCGGTACGACATGCCAGGCTCAATCTCGGTGTGAGCAAGTCTCTAGTCTGCACCTGGGATCACGAACAGGCATAGAAAGCGTAGAGGAAGGGACCCAACAAGTCATCCAGTCCAGCCCCTCATCAGCTCTGCGCTGCCAGGAGCCAGGCCCTGCCTCCCCACCTGGCCATCCTCCCACTCCACTTGCTGGGACATCCTCCAGCTGCAAAAGCCTCGCAGGGCCCAGCTATTCATGCTCGCCTGCACCTCTCCAGTGGCATTCGTTCCTAATCTCAGTACCTACATCAGAGCTGTGCAGCCCACGTCTGGAGCGAATGCACTGAGGAGGAGAGGGGCCAGCAGGATGGAAATATCCAGCCCAATATGTTCTGCACATCCCACAGCTGCAAACCGGGCCATATTCACCTTTAATGTAGCTCAGCTGATGTCTGGACTCTTCTGCCGGGGAGGCTGGCCGGCCCGTTGCTCGCCCATCGCTCCCAGCAGCAGCGTGGTTCATACCAGTGCCACGGGATTAGCCAGCCAGCACTAGCTGAGCCTGCTTTGCCAGTCCCGGAGCTAAACCATTCGAGAAGGCCCCGGCTGCTGGGGACAGCATTCACATGGCTACAGCACGGTGCACTCGGCTTCCCCGGGCGGTTTCCATGCAGGACGCAGCTTTGTGCTTTAATGCCTTAGAAGGGCATGGAGTTGTGAGCGAGGGCAGCTCTCCCTTTCAGCCTGGATACTGGAGCCAGGGGTCGATGGGACCCTGGACTGTGCTGGCTCAGGGGGTGCCGAAGCCCCGCTCCTAGTTTGCAGGATGTGACCAGCCCAGGTCGCCCAGGCCCAAGATCTCCCAGAGTCCAAGCTGGGAGCGGGCTATTTTCTGTCCAGGGTGGAAGCAGCGTGAAGGCTGCCGGATCAGTGTGCCTGCTGTGAGCCAAAATCGCACGTTATCGCATCTTGGGATTTGAGCAGTGTCAAATCTGGACCCAGCTTTAGGCTGAAGCTGCAGCCTCAGATCCTAAAGGGCCAACCCTGAGCCCACCTCTGCCTCGGACTGTGCCAGAGCCACCTGCGCTCGGCCCAGGACGGCAGTGTTTTCCCTTCCGGCCCGCGTCCCCAGCGCAGAACCCCCCAGACCGCACCTCCACCCTCCCTCCGCAGACCGAGGAGCCTGCCCAAATACCCGAGTCTACCTCCCACTGTCCCTTGAAATGGGAAACCGGCCCTTAGCTATATTCCTGAATAGCTGTGTAGGGTATATAACCCTAAGCCAGCAATTCTCAGCGGGGGTGTTGTAGCACCCCGGATGCCATGAGATCCTTTCAAGGGTGCCTCGAGGCAATATTAGCACTGGTAGGTGGGCAAGCACAGACACACGAGTCCCAGACGAAACCCGGAGATTTCGCGTGCGAATCCCTGGTGCTAAAACTCTCCTGACCTGTTGTGGGCTTGCTGAGCAATTTGCAACAGAAAAACTGTTCTGTTATTTTTCCATAATAAAAAACCAAACCCCCCAAAAACCACCATCAAAGTGAAGAGCTGGCATTTTTCTGGAGTCTGGAAACAAGGTTGAGACCTATGGGTTTGTTTTGTCTTTTAAATTTTTGAGATGGCAGCTGCATGAGCCTAAAGTCTGCCCCCCGCGCCTGATGCCTGTGCAGTGTGACAGGCACTCTGTTTAGTGTCCTTGAAAGAAGAAACCATCGTTAACACACGCTTAAGATTTTTGTATTGAAAACTCTTTTCCTCGTAATCCAAAGATACACTGACGGCTCCCCCCACCCAAAGCTAGGTCGGTGGTTTGATGCACGTTTCCAGAATTCAGTCAAAACACATGAGAGCTGGTATTACTTTGCATTTCTAAAGTGTCTTTCCTTTGCAGGTCTCCAACGACTCTCCCAGCCCCGTGTCCGGAAGACAGCGCCGGGGGCTTTGCATGGAACAGAGGTCTTGATCCACCGCAACCGCGAGCAGAGGGCAACCACCGGCAAGGCAGCTGAATTGCACCCCTCGCCCTGGCTCCGGCTACTTGGAAGGGCAAACGCAGCAGGTGAGAGCAGAGTCCTTGTAGCCTTGCACCTGAGACTCCCCGGAGCAGCAGCTGCTCAAAAGCAAGGCAGAGATGAGGACCCAGAAGGGGATGTCATTTAATTCAGCTCCCTCGTATGCCGGAGTGCCCTGCATGGCGGCGACTAGGTGGCAACACTATGGTCTCTCCTCGGTAGCCTGAGCAGAAAGGTCTGCAGGGAACCAGTCCTCGGGAACCCGGCCTTCTCCTTCTTGAACCGCCAGCTGCCCTCTTCGATGGAGTAGAGGAGGGTGAGCATCCTGTTGACGGTGTACACGGTGTCCCCTCTGATCACGGCCGTGAAGAGCGCTCCCTTGCTGTTGACGAACTGCCCGGGTAAGGCCACCCACTGCCGGGTGGTGAGGTTGAAGCAGTCTATCACGCACCGCAAGAAGTCGTCCGAGGGCCCGTTCCTCATGATGTAGAGGTTGTCTCGGTGGGCCACCATGCAGTGACCGTAGCTCTGAGGCCTCTTCAAGTCCGCGATGGGAAGCCACTCGTCCTTCTGGGTCTCGTACTCGTAGATGATAGTGGTGTCCAGTGGTTTCCACAAGCAAACAAATATCCTCCCCATCGCCTGGGCGCAGGGGGCCCCGGCTGTGGGCTGGGGCAGGTCGGAGAGGAGAGTCCAGGTGTTGGAGGACACGTCGTATTTCTCCACGGATTTGAGCGAGACCTTCTCGTACTCTCCTCCGATGGCGTACAGGCAACCTTCGTGGCCCGTCAGCGTGGCGTCGTACCGGGGCTGCTTAGGGCTGGGGAACTTGCTCCAGCTGTTCGTGTCGGCGTCGTAGCAAAAGCTGCTGTCTACGACTTGCTTGCTAGCCCCGTAGACGCCCCCCACGATATAGATCTTGTTCTCCAATGTCGCCATGCCGGCTAGGAACGTGCTGGCCGCCAGCGGTAAGCAGGAGAGCGTCTTCCACGTGTTGTTCTCCTCGTCCAGGTAGCAAATGGTCCTCGAAAGGTCCTCTAGGAACTCAAAGGTGGGCGTATGTGCCCCCACCGCGACAAACGTGCTGGGCACGAGAGAGTCGATGTAGTCCAGCAGGTCGGGGGAAAGACAGTCCAAGTACTGCTCTAGCTCAGAGTAGCTGTCCCGGATATACAGGGCGGCGCTGTGGAAAAGGTCCAGCAAGCCAAAAATGGCGGCAGCTTGGTACAGGATGATGCAGTTGTCGGAGTTGATCGAATTGATCAGGTACTTGGCCAGCGGCTTCACGTGCAGAAAAGCCGCGCATTCGACCGCCTTGAAGTTCTCCTCGCAGCTCAGCATGGGTCTCTCCCCAGCCAGGACTTGGAGCATGATGAAGAACCCCTTGGCACTCAGGTCCTGGAGCTGGATTTCGTCCTGCGTGCTTTCCCTCATGCCAGAGCGGAAGAGGGCGCAGAAGTAGTCGCTGTGCTCCACCAGCAGAGCCTTGTCCACGGCGAAAAACGCCTCTTCCACGTTGATCCGGACTCTCTCCGTCGCAGACGTCGGCCCGCTCTGGTGCTGAGTCATGCTCCGGCTGCCGGAGAGGTGACTCAGCAAGCATGCACTTGGCGGTGCCTCGTAATGCATCCGCACGCCAGGAGTGGTACCCAAGGCGCCTTGCAGCGTGCAGCCAGTGCAATTCCTATCTCTTTCTCGATGGTTTGATATCTTTCTGTGCCTTCCCGGCCGCTCCAAACCGCTCACTTGTAATATGAAGACCTCCGGCTAAAGATAGCCGCGGCCCATGTGATCGGAGCTGCCAGCAGCGAGAGCAAGCGGATGCCTTTCAGACGGCATCCTTGGAGTGCACTTGCTAACTGATAGCGGCAGCGTTTGTCCTGAGCAAATCCAGGGGACTGTGAAGGGGCCGACGGGATGCAGCAGAGGCGTTCATCAGATCAAAGTGGAGCTTACATTGTACTGGAGAGATCAGACTCGTCCTGGCTGGGGCCTGAAAATAGCTTTAAAAGGCCTCTGGGTGAGGCAGGAAGGTCAAGATTTCTAAAAGTGACCGGTGATCTTTTTTGTCTCAGGGTTTGCATGTCCCACGATCAAGAGCCCGGCTTTGGGAGGAGCTGGGGGCTTGGCACTTTCTCAACTATAGGAACCGTGGAAGGCCTCTGAGGTCGAGCGTGCACAACCTGGGATGCCCAGAAACACCAGCCACCTCTGACAAGCTCAGCTGGTATCTGTCCCAGGTTTCCTGGTGGGCTTCTATAGGCAATTTGGGTCTATCAATGCACAGCTGTGGAGATCCCCGAGCCGGCTCTGAAGGTGCCAGAAGGCAGCAGAAGCAAACTGGCTGCATTGCAAGGCACGTGGCCTCAGCCCTGCTGCGAGGAGGGCTGCATTAGCCAGGCAAGAGTGCAGCGCTGATGCAGTGGTACTGCTGCCGGTACCCAGCTAACTCTGCTCTTGGTTATGCTGCTCTTGGCCATCCTGAATTAAACCCAAGTAACATTTGGATGCTTATCTTGCTGGGATCCTATGACCCCAGCTGACTTCCTGCCCCTGGGGCAGGGGCCTGGACTCGATGATCCTCCGAGGGCCTTTCCAGCCCGAATGTTTATGAAATCTGGGAGCAGAATTTAGCCCATACCCCTCGCACCAACTGTCCGCTGGAGAGAAGGACCATGGCTCCATTTTGCAGATGTTGGATGTTGCCTAGAGTGAGCCAGGTCCGAGATGGAAATGGCCATAGCTCCCGATTCCCCACCTTCATGGCAAGACCATCTCTTTCTCTGAGAGGTTTCCAGCCTGTGACCCTCCCAGCATTGGCCGGCAGGCCTTGAAGAGCTAGCTAGTCTCATGGCACTGGCTCTTCCTCTTTACTTCCAGATGTTCAGATCCCTCAAAAGAGGCTAGAATCCATGTAGTGCTTTCCTAACTTTATTGCTTTTCTAGGTCAGCGGTTGCTGCCACTGCCACTGGGAGGTGACAGGCATGTGAGCTGACCCAGAGAAGATCATGTAAGTGCCGAGGGAGGAGGTGGCATCCGTAAGGAAACCTCTCTATCCAGAGGTGGGTGTCATGACACGAGATGTGCTCTGCTCCGGCCGTTTCGCTGCTGGGCGCATTCAGGTTCGAGGACAAGTTGTCCGCGGGTAGAGCTGGAGCCCGAGGCAGAGGACCACAATCTCCTGCTGGCTTCTGTTCACTGTCTTTCAATCCACCGCTGTGGCTTTTTGCATGGCTGGACGGAGCCTGGATTCCTTTGTTCGTTTTCTTTCTCATAAAAGTTTTACAAGTGCAATTAGAGAACGTGCTTCAGCAAATCTCCGAGGCTTCCAGCCCGGGTTGTTGCAATGGACGTTCGCCTGCACCACGAACCACACGTGCTGCAGGGTGGGGAGTAAGCGGCACACCGGCAGGTCTGGGGTACGGAGCTGGCATCTCTAGAACAGCCCAAGGTGCGGTTTGGGGGCAGTCAGATGACAGGTCAGACGGGAAGTTTTTGCGCTGCGATGACGGTGCCAAACACTGGTTTCTGCCATTGCAGGAGCTTGGGTTAGAGCAGGGCTGAGCCCCCCCATGCAGCGTCTGCCTGCTTCCACGTGGAGTCTTCCCAAGCGTCCTTCCTGGTCCGGGCCAGGGTGCAAAGTAAGTGGGGATGAGCCCCTCCATAAGAGATGAGAGCCCTCCTGTAAGATTTGAAAGGCATAACCTGGTGGCAGTGGTGGGGG